AAAAACTATCATTTCAATTTTGTAGTGCTATATGATATTATAATACCGCTTGAATATTTAATCTACATGCGCTGTATAAGTTGGCTTTATATCAGTATCTATCGAGATATTTCGATAGACAATTAACCTTTAACCTCAAGCTGCTTAAAATATCCATTGAAAGATGGCTTAAGGTAGGCCTAGTACGGTATAAGAAATCACAGCACAAAGACAAATCCTGAATGGAAAATCAATTCACTATCGAAGAAAATTATGTTAGGACTTCTGATAATCAACGGGATTTGTGCTAACTCATTCATAATTGAGCAAAGGAGCAGTAAAGACGTTGAATTATATCATAACTACCCGGCATTACCCAGTGGGCATTATAAATAGTTTCTTAAAACTTTCAACGAATATCTCAATCACCAACCAAATATAGGCCTATTTTGTATTAACATTAAAAATGGGTTCCTGAAATATACTAAGTAGGCCTATCCCTAGTATGTAATGTAATTATGACTGTACAGGGCAACATAATGTGTTTCATTAACCGACATAAACCCAATATTGGGTTTGGGAAACATGAGGAACATTAATAGCTATCAATACCGATATTTGGCTCCTTTTGAATCTTCTCCTGTAACGTTCAAGAAAATTGATACTGATTGGATGCGCTCGCTTGATGCAAACGCGTTCTTGTCATGGAGGTCTTAAAATTATTGAGTTTATGTTCTTCTACTTGACTAGAATTAATCTGTTAATGTGTTATTCCTTGACTTTCGAAAGGCTTTAGACCTCATCCCAAACGATATTCTACTCACCAAACTTGTCAGGAACTATAACATCAGAGGTAAAATGTGGATGTGGATTAAATCCTATCTATTCGGAAGAAAGCAACGGGTCACTTTTAAAGGAACATCGTCATCATGGGTACCTGTTAAATCAGGTGTTCCACAAGGAAGTGTTCTGGGCCCATTACTCTTTAATCTGTTCATCAACGACATAACTCATAATATCTCTCGAGTAGTGCCAAAGTGCGAGCCAGCGAGCCAATGTGCGACTCATGCGAGCCAGCGAGCCATACATTTAATTTTTTTTTTTTTTTTTCAGGTTATCCAGTTTTGCAAACACGTAAGCCTATCCTATATTCTTTGGCCTAGTAGATGCAAATGAATAACACACCGGGGAGCTTTGCCTGTGGAGTCCAGTCATGCGCAGTAAATATACTTTTGACTTTTTCGAATCGCCGATCCGAAAGTATGCAGCGCTGATAGATGTTGTTAAAATACAGATATACAGATACATACATACAGATATATTTATATATATTATACTGTATTTACTTATATATTTATATATATTATTTTATATATACTGTATTTATTTATATATTTATTTATATATTTATTTATATATTTTTATATTTATTTGTATATTCATTTATATATATGTATATATTTATTATATATTTATTTATATATTTATTTTATATACTTATTTGTATATATGTATTTATTTATATATATATACTGTATTATTTTATATATACTGTATTTATTTATATATATATATTTGTATATTCATTTATATATGTATATATTTTATTTATATATTTATTTTATATACTTATTTGTATATATATATTTATTTATTTATATATATACTGTATTATTTTATATATACTGTAATTATTTATATATTTATTTATATATGTGTTTGTATATGTATATATTTGTATATGTATTTATATATATTTATATGTTTATATATTTATTTATATAATTATTTAAATTTTTTTATATATTGTTTGTATATTTATTTGTGTATCGTATATATTATATATTTATATATATTAATATGTTCATATATTTATTTATATATATATATATTTATATATTTATTTGTATATTTATATATATTANNNTGTATATCTGTATTTTAACAACATCTCTATCAGCGCTGTATACTTTCGGATAGACGATTCGAAAAAGTCCAAAAGTGTATGTACTGCGCATGACTGGACTACACAGGCAAAGCTCCCCAGTGGGGGAAAAAAAAATTAAATGTATGGCTCCCATGGCTCGCGCATTGGCTCGCATGACTCGCTGGCTCGCACTTTGTCACGACCCATATCGCTTCTAGTACCTTGCTTTTTGCCGATGACACTTTAATATTCCGGAACATACGCAGTAAACGATGATTTGTCTCTCCAAGCTGATCTTGACAGCATTGTGAACTGGACCACTACTAACAACATGTTTATTAACACTACTAAATCCAAAGTTATGCACATGACAAGATCATCCAAACACAGAAACCATCTCCCAGCCTATCATCTCAACAATACTAACCCCTCCACCGTTACATCATTCAAGTACCTATGACGAACAATAACAAACACACTAACAAGGAAAGAATATGTCACATACACCACAAACAAAGCTGCCAGATTACTAGGGTTCATACTGGTAGGTAGCTGGAGGATGTTCTTCAAAAGCTATATTATCACATACAAAACTCTTATGCTTCCGGTTTTGGAATATGGAAAGCCAGCCTGGCACACTCTCACTAAAGACGAGTGTAAACAAATTGAGCGTGTACAAAGACGAGCATCACGGATGTGCCTGCACAAACAAACAGGTGAAACGTCATACGAGACTAGGCTCAGTTCTCTGAATATTGCGACACTTCATGACAGAAGAGAACAAACTGCTATCATCTTCGTCATTAAATGTCTGTATGGACTAATCGACTGCAAATCAGTGCGCGAAAATGTGATAATAAATGAACGCTACCAAGAAATGTTTATATTTAAGCATCAATACGCAAGAACTTTGGCCTGCAAGAACTCCATGTTAATGAATTTCCAGAATTTGGACGTGTCTTCCTGAATTTCTGAAAGAATCTGCAATGTTGGACACTCTACAAACTTTTATATGTAAATTGAAACTACATTTTACCGAAAAACAAGAATATTTATTGTAAATTTGACATGCTGATTATTAACGTAAATTCATTAAATTAATTTTAAAATATACAGCAATATCTAAGATTTATCTATTTTATGCTGTCAACAATTAATATCTTTATAGGCCTTTATCACTATTATAAATCCTAGCCAACTTAGGTAATATTGTAAAATTTGTCCAATTTTCATTTGTTTTGTAAATGTATATGTTTGGCTGAATAAAGAATGAATGAATGAATGAATTGACGAGATCAAACCCTGTCAATCACTGGGCCCGGTCGTCCCAGGTTCCAGCGTGAAATAAGCAAATCTTCTTCTTCTTCCAATCACCAGCAATGGTGTATTACGTACCGGTACACCATGATAGGCACGTTTCGCGTGCCTATCATGAACGCAGTTAAATCACTTGGTTGACGTATTTCCATCACTTGTCCCGGACCTCGACAGGGTGGGTGGATGGTGACTCTCTAAAATTGTTGTATTTGTTTTGCGTATTGTTCGATTTAGTTATATGATAAAACGGATAGCATAACGCAAATTAATGTTTTTTATGCAGAGAATTATATCGTAATGGGCTCTGTGGTCTAAACGGTATGACGCTCGCCGAGATAGCGAGAGGTTACGAGATCGATTCCCAACAGAGACCTCTTTTTCATCCACCTATAATAAGGAACTTTCGTTGATGACCTATGTTTGATCGATTTATAATATCATGTTCCTATATATTTGAGCATTGTATTAGTATCTATTTGATACATACATATACATATATATATATATGCCTATATATATACTATATATATATATATATATATATATATACATATACATACACATATACCTGCCCTTTTACTACATACATGAACGAACGCGTTAGCGACATATTATTATTATTATTATTATATATATATCTATATATATATATATATATATATATATATGTGCACAAAAGTAATTTTGTTTTATGGTTTATACAAATAGAGAATTGAATTTGTAGATTGCTTTAATTGCATGCGTCACCCCGATGTTTAATTCATGGCAAGATAAACGCGCCTGCCCTTTACTACATACATGAACGAACGCGTTTTATATTTTACTTAGTCAGACGTCCATTCCCTGCTTCAACTTCATCCATGTATTATAAAATATGTCAACACAGTGTTTGATTTCATCAAGGGAAACAGTCAACCCAGCAAGCCTACTTCAACCCATCATCGGAAAACATCAACCCAGTGCTTCAAGTTGCGTTGCAACCTAATTGACTATAGCATGCACAGTATTGGGTTTCTTAAATGAGAAAGAACGTATTGACCAAGTACAGTATATACCTGTCTCTTATACACATCTAGATGTGTATAAGAGACAGGCTGTATACTTTCGGATAGACGATTCGAAAAAGTCCAAAAGTGTATGTACTGCGCATGACTGGACTACACAGGCAAAGCT